ATGGGCCGTGCAGAAACGAACCAGGTCTCGTCGCGAGTACATCGTATCGCGCGTCCGCGCCGAGGAAGAGGAGCTCGCCAGAAACAGATCTACCAAACCAGCATCGACAGAAGATGAGGATTGGGAAAAGGTCGATACCTCCTCTAGTGCCAGTTCCGGAACAGCTGGCACCGGGACCAGCGATGACTGGAATGGAATCATCGGGTTCTTCCACCCGTTCTGGTATGTCCCCTCCCTCTACACATGCTTATCAAAAACTAAACATCGTGTAGCAACGCCGGAGGTGGAGGTGAACGTGTCCTCTGGGAAGCCGTGAGAGCGACCCAGAAGCGCTGGCCCAAGGCCATTTGCGCCATCTACACGGGCGATCACGAAGTCAACAAGACAGCCATGCTGGAACGGGTTGCAGTAAGTCTCGTCCCTGCTCAAGAAATGCATGGAATCTGACATATCAGAACCGGTTTAATATACACCTACATGCCCCCACCGTCGTGCTGCTTTACCTGACCACCCGCAAATACGTGGTTAGCAGCATGTACCCCTACATGACTCTACTGGGCCAGTCCCTCGGCTCTCTAGTTGTTGCCTACGACGCTTTCAATCTACTCGTTCCGGACGTCTTCGTCGATACCATGGGGTACGCCTTCACCTTGGCCTTTAGCAAGCTACTCTTTCCTTCCGTCCCGACTGGCGCCTATGTACATTACCCCACCATCTCCACCGACATGCTTAGCTCTCTGGATGACCAGACTGGCACCAAGGGTATCAACGCCGGTGCTGGAAAGGGTCTCAAGGGCCAGGTTAAGCGCAGGTACTGGATCCTTTTTGCTAAACTCTACGGCTGGGTTGGCGGCCACGTTGACGTCGTTATGTGCAATTCCTCCTGGACGTCTGCCCATGTCCGCAGCCTCTGGGGTCCTTCCCGGAAAACCAACACTTTCGAGGAACCAACAGTCATTTTCCCGCCCACCGCGGTGTCTGAACTCGAATCCACTATCCACGTCGACGCCGCAACGGAGGCATCCCGGGAACCCGTCATTCTTTACATCGCCCAGTTCCGACCAGAAAAGAACCATCCTCTGCTTCTGCGCTCCTTCGCCCGCTTCCTCCAAAATTACCGCAACAAGGCTTCTTCTTCGGAGTCTGGAAAAGAACCCAAGCTTATTCTCATCGGCTCCGTCCGCCACGCCTCCCCTGATGAGACGCATATCTACAACCTCCGTTTGCTCGCCCACGAACTGCGCATTCGCGACAACACGACATTCCTCTGCGACGCCAGCTGGCCCACCATCCTTGAGCATCTCGCATCCGCCTCCGTTGGCGTCAATACCATGTGGAACGAACACTTCGGCATTTGCGTTGTGGAGTATCAGGCCGCGGGGTTGATTAGTGTTGTCCATGACTCCGGCGGCCCTCGTGAGGATATCGTCGTTGACCTTGGCGACGGCGCAACGGGTTTCCGGGCGAATATGGAGGACGAGTTTGCCGCTGCGTTTGAGGCCGCCTTGGCTCTTCCGGAAGAAGAGAAGGTTGCGATGCGGCTGAGAGCGCGCAAGTCTGCGCTTAGGTTCACCGAGGAGGAGTTCTCTCTAAAGTGGATTAAAGAGGTTGAAAAGTTGGTGCTGTTGAAGGGAAACCAAGGGTGACAGATAGCAGATAGTTCGTTGTCAGGTTACTTTTCTTCCTGTGTGATGAAGCTGGCGATGCGTGCTTCTATACTGGGGTAGGGTAAAGTGGCAGCTAAATAATGTTTGCATCTTCATACCACAAGCTGTTCGCTTAGGCCATATGAGATCTGTCTTGTAACCATACCTCAATGGCGCTTATATCTCCTTGAGTGCAAATAGTGAGATGATATAAATATATCTTTCGTCCGTCCAATCTAGCATGAGCACATCGAATACATAAGTTATCCGTTACAAGGAAACAAGTTAACCTTGTGGAAACAAACTATAACTACTCCGTAGTTAGCTGGCAACAAAAGATCCCGCCGCCAAGCCCCTCTCGGCTGTGTCGTCATGCCCCGCGGAATTAATTATTCATGCATGCAGAGAGACATTCTTTTATCTTTTCTGCTTCCTTTTGGTACACCACCAGCCCCCCACCTTCTCCTCTACCAATTGGCTCTATTTTCCCTACCCATCTTGTCCCACGAGAATCAATCCCGCACTCCTTCGAATGTCCTCTCGTGCCATCCGCAAGCTGCAGAAGCAGCGCGAACAACAAATACAAGCCGAGCAGGAGAATGACGGATCCAGTGACGATGAGCTGGTCTCGCGACCCGCAAAGCCGAAACTCAACGCCTTCGACCTTCTGAATTCCTTTGGCGACGGTGATGAGGAGGAAGAAGATGATGATGACGACGCCGACGCCGACGCCGACGCCGACGCCGACGAACAGTCCGAGAAAGAAGTTGAGGTGTCGGAGCTGGTGACTCAGCCCGCGCAAGAAGCGAAGGAGGATGAGGAAGAAGATGAAGAGCAAGAGGAAAGGGAAGCTGCCAGAACCGTGAAGCCCGCAGGCTCGGGGAAGAAGAATAAGAAGAAGAACAAGAACAAGAAAAAGAAGGCGACCGCCGCCGCCAACGCCTCCTCCACCACCACCACCACCGCCACCGCCGCCAAAGCAGGAAAATCAGCCGGCGCAGTCACGACAGGCGAAGATGAGATCGACCGCGCGCTCAAGGCACTAGCTGTTGACCCCAAACACCCCACAGCGGGCGGGGATGGCTGGGGCCGTGATTCTTCGTTTGCGAAAACACCGGAGGATCTACTGGGCATCGATCCACGGAATCTCAATGCGACGAACGAGATGCGCAAGTTGTTTGGGAATGTGGTGCTGGAGAACTTTGATCAGGATACTACTGGGCCGGGTGGGCGTCGGAGGGATCGCGGACCAGAGACGCTGGACCTGGGACAGGCCCTGACGGGCAGGTATAGCCCCGCGAGCAGGGGCCAGAGTCTGGCTGGCGTGACGCTGCGGCGCAATGTCCTCATGCAAGGCAGGGATGAATGGCCCCGGGCGCCCAGCGGAGGGCTGGGTATGGAGCTGGTCGAGAAACGCGCGGACGGCAATACACTCTACAAGATCCTCCACAATGCTGCGTACACCGATGTGCAGAGGCAGTTTGAGATCTGCGTGGAGTCGATGGATCCCCAGCGCATGATCCACCTCTTACAGTACAACCCCTACCACATCTCCACCCTGCTCCAGGTGTCGGAGATCGCTAAGCACCAGGGTGATCACGCCGTCTCCGCGGATCTGCTTGAGCGGGCGCTCTTCAATATTGGGCGCTCGGCTCATTCCTCTTTTGGGAACCTGCTGAAGCAGGGACGGGCGAAGCTGGATTTCGTGCAGGAGGCCAACCGTGAACTCTGGCTTGTTGGCTGGCGGTATATTGCGAATCTGGGTATGAAGGGCACGTGGCGGACAGCGTATGAGTGGGCCAAGTTGCTTCTGAGTCTCAATGACAGTGATCCGTACTGCATGCGCCTGCTGATCGATCACCTGGCCCTTCGTGGCCGAGAGTACTCCCACTTTGTGGAGCTATGCACACAGACTCGGCTGAGCAAGGAGTGGGGGACTCTTCCCAACATTCAATGCTCGCTCGCCCTGGCATACCTGCGACTGAACAACCCGAAGGAGTGCCGCGACCAGCTCCGCCGAGCCATGTCCCGCTACCCATGGGTATTCTGCAAGCTCGCGCAGGAATTGGACATTCAGCCCATGCCCAAGCGCATCTGGGGCAAGATGCCGCCTACCACTGCCCACGAAATGCTCACCGAACTTTACATCTCTCGGGCCAAGGATCTCTGGAACACTCCGGAAGCGGTCTCCTTGATCGTGGAAGTGGCCGACACTCTGTCGTATGAAGAGGAGCCGGTCGAACCGCCGGCAATCACGCTGGACATTGCACGCCACGTCGTGCTTTCTGATATCCCTAAGGTCACGACTTTTCTTCCGGGACGGTTCATCTCTGGCAGGATTTCGGCGTCTGACCCTCTTCCGCCGCATGAGTCGGAGGCGCATCGCCAACAGTCCGATCCTACTCCGTCTTACCTGGCACAATCTCCGGCTGCGAACCGACCTCAGTGGCTTCGGGATCTTCTAGACCAGCTCAACAACGGCGGGATTCAATTCCCCGGGTTCAACCGTGATGGCGACGCTGGCGACGAGGTCATTGGGGACGAGGACGCATCGGGCGGCGGCGGCGAGACGACCAATGCACGTGGGCCCCCAGGCGCGGACCAGCAATCACAGCTGGAGCAGTGGCTGTTGGGCGACGGCATGCATGCGCTTCAGGCTTTCCTGCAGCAGTACGGTGTGGACCGAGGAAACTGGGGGGACGTCGTCGACTATTCCCCTCTGACCGAGTATGTGGATGGGTTGGACTCTATTCAGCCCGAGTCGGCACGCGAAACCTTATTGGCAGGCCCTATTCGCGAGGCGATGGGTGAGCTGACGGCTGTCATGCTGGAGGATGAATTGCAGCTGTTTCAGTACGGTGAAGAGGAGGATGTTTGATACCCTGATGGCTACTTGAGTTTTATGTGTAGGCTATCGTGAGACTAGTATTTATGAATTAGAGGGTAAGGCCAGAAGGTTGTGGTGTCAGCGACTATTCATCGAGCGTGAATTAAGTAGGGGTGATGTAGACCGGGGCATTAAGCGAGGATGAATGTAGATAGATCTATATCATATATCACCGAAAATATATTGATTGTGAACGAACCTGTTATCAGGCGAGTAGTAGTAGATCAAATGCCTAGTACTAGTACTCTTTCTTATCTTTCTTACCATAAGCACATAAGCAAGACGCAGGATAAGACAAGCCACTGCAGACGCCTAACGACGACATCATCGTGTATGTTATAGATAAGTCAAGGATGATGACATGCGCTCCCGATGCGGTGGGCGAGCTTAGTCAGGCAACAAACAACCGGCCGGCATCCGTCATCGATCCCGTGAGTCAATCAATCAATCAATCAATGATGAAAGGAAGGAAGGAAAAGACTCCAACCGTACTAATTTAGCTGCGTCCTTCGCTACGTTCTTCTTCTGCATGTTCTTTTTTCTTTTTCCCTCTTCCTTTCCTTTACCCCCCCACCGTTGCCTGACTATCCCACCTCTCAAACTCCTCGATCCCTTCAGTGGAAATTAATTCTGACTGTGTGGTTTCATTCTTTGCCCTCGCACTTCATGCGCTCTGACCACCGAGGAATCCTACCGTAGCCGCTGTCACCGCATTTCTCTCCGACGAGCCGATTCCTTATCTTTCTCACACAGTTCAACGAATTGATTGCACTGCGATTGACCCCGAGTCGGCCCCCCTTTCCCCTCTCCCACCCAAAACCTCAAGCCCTCGACATGGCGACACCGTTGTCAGGCGACAGCCTCGTCCCCATGGCCGAATCCGTACCTTTGACGTCGCGCGAAGCAGCGTCTGGACTGCTTGGCTCCATTTCGCTCACCTGCTGGATTTTCCTTCTTGTAGGAATGACCCTATACCCAACAGGACTGGGTGTGCCTGTGTGAAGCAAGCTATGCTGATTGGGGACTGTGCATAGGTTCCTCAGCTCATCGAGAACTACCGCAACGGCAACGCCGAAGCCATCTCCCTCCTCTTCCTCTTTGTCTGGTTCGTCGGCGACATCACCAACCTCATCGGCGGCGCCTGGGCCGGCCTAGTCCCCGTCATTGTCGCCATTGCCGTCTACTTCTGTATCGCAGACGGCGTCCTCATCAGCCAATGTCTGTACTATAAGGCCCGCAACTCGCGCCAAGCCGCGGCGCGCCATCGTCGGAGACGCTCCTCCGTGGAAACCCCGGACACGGTCACGCCCTTGCTGGGCCGACGGTTCAGCGACGCGGTCGAGCACCATCGTCCGGTTGCGCGCCGGGCGGAGGGTTATGTCCAGGGCAGTACCTCGGGGCCCGAAGACACTCTCGCGAAGATCGTTGAGGAGAATGACGTCGGTCGCAAGGCGTGGGTCAAGAATTTCAGCAGTGTGCTGGCTATCTGCGTCATCGGCATGGCGGGCTGGACCATGGCCTGGCAGACGGGCGTCTGGAAGCCAGCCCCCAAGGAGGTGGATGGCGGAGTGGACATGGCACCGGGCGCGATGGTGCTGGGATATATTAGCGCGCTTTGCTATCTGGGGTGAGTTCATATGCATTCAGCAAATTCATGGTGTTGGCAGTTTGGGGGTTGTAGTTGTTGGGAGGGAAAATTTGGGTGCTAACAAACAACAGTGCGCGTCTGCCGCAGATCTATAAGAACTACTGCGAAAAGTCATGCGAGGGTATGTGTCACCCTGTGTCACCCCGCCGGAGGCCGGGCCCGGATTTGCTGACACTTCATACATACAGGACTTTCACTTCTGTTCTTCATCCTTTCCCTCATGGGAAATCTGACTTATGGCGCTGGGGTAAGGCCAAGTCTGGACTTGATTCTGAGAGTCAATGGGCTGACTGTTTGCATCTACAGATTCTCTGCCACTCCACGGAGCGGAACTATATCATCACAAACGTGCCGTGGCTGATTGGCTCCTTGGGCACAATGATCGAGGATGTGACGATATTCATCCAATTTCGACTCTATGCTGTTCGGAACCCCGAGGATACGGTATAGATGTTTTCTTATACATCTAATTTTGTTTGATTAAACTATGCGGCTGGTTTAGCGTGTCTTATCTTTGTGCTGGCAGGTTGTTGGGGTTGTTGTGCTTTACTATGTATTGGGCGGTTGCTGCTTCTGAAAAGCTTTTTTGCTTGCCTTTCCGTGCGACTGCTTCATCTTGTATAATTATCTCAAAAGACATCTTGTAATTCATGACCATTACAAGCAGAGTAGCATGTGGTGGCTATCACATGCATGTTCTAATTCGGCATGAAGGCCTAGACCGGCGGTCTACAGGATCTGAAATGCGGTTTGATTACAATCTACCAAACAATCCGGGGACGAGGTTTTGCTCATGGTCGCATGACAGACATTGCAGGAGAGCTGGGGCACCTAAGCTCGAAACGTAGCTAAGCAACAAGCATAACACGACATAGAAATCAAAACGAGTACGGAACAGCCCTCCGTACAAACTTTTGACTATAAAGATCCCACGGGGCCCGGAATCCTAGCGTCATCCGGGTCCAGTACCTCTGTCACGTCGAAAAGCCCATCATGCAAGCCGGAGCGCCCAGTCCCACCGGATAGCCATTGTCCGTTTGATTCGTTGTTCTTTTAATTTTCCCATTTTGATCTTCGTGTGGTCGAGAATTGTTAGGTACAGGAGATGCGAGGGGGCGAGAAGAGGGAGATAGAAGATGATAGGAAACGAGGAAGCAAATAGGAAGTGATGAGGGGGAATCCAGATCCAATGAAAAGCGGATTTAGGACATTTAGTCGAAAAGACCGAAGCCCATGTCCTCGTCGGACTCCTCCTTCTCTGTAGGGGATGTATTAGCCAACTGCTGCTATCATGATGATCGCGAGCGGATCGAATCGGTTGATGGAAAAAGAAACACATACCCTCCTCCTTCTTCTCCTCAGCAGCCTCGGCGGGGGCAGCAGCGCCACCGGCAGCAGCGGCGGGGGCGGCAGCGGCGGGACCACCGGAGCCAACGTTGGTCAGGAGATCCTTGATGTCCTTGCCCTCGAGAGCCTGTAGGTAGAGAAAAACCAGCGGTGAGCGTCTGAATTTGATAGTAGAGATGAAATCGATCGGAAGTCGTTGCGGAATGTTGGTGGAGAGGATTGCGCAGGTCGCGGAAGTGAAGCACGGATTCAATTAGATTGTATTTACCTTGGCGAAGATGGAAGTCCAGATGGGCTCGATCTCAGCAACCTTGGCGGCGGAGATGAGGGTCTGGAGCTTGTCGGCCTGTGTTCAATGGAAAAAAGAGTCCTAGTCAGCTTTGATTGTTCCCATGTTCCTTGCTGAAAAAAGCCATGCGCGAGATATCCGGATTTCCCTTCCCCTTGCCCTGGTCGAGTTGGAACCGTGTCGCAGCTTTCTTTTTTGAAGATTGGTGAAAATTTCCATCGCTGTATCAATAGCCGTTCTCCGATTTGCCTTCTCTTTTTCTTTTCGCGACCTTGTACTTCGTCTTGTCGCCTTTCCGATATTCCCAGCACCGTTTCCATGCGACTCAAGGGGGGGAGGGTCCTCCAGATATCAAATACCAGACACAATGATAACCGAGTCAACGTTCAATCAAGGACAATGGGGAATACGTACGGTGACCTCGACGCCGTCATCGGCGAGGATGAGGGCCGCGTAGGAGCAAGCGAGCTCAGCAGTAGACATGATGGTCGACGGGAGGTTGGACTGGACTGGAGTCTCGAGAGGGATGGGGATTAGGGGAAGAGGAAAAAGGACGAAGGGGACTTTTTTGTAACTGGCCTGGTCGAGAAGGGGAGTCGGACGAGGGAGTGACTAACGCTTCACCCACTACGGAAGTTGTGTGTTTCCGCCGCGTCAAAGCCCTCGCTTAGGGCTGCTCCGTCTTGGGTTTAGCGCCAGTACATCCGTGACTTCCACCCTAGTCCCGATACGGTCATGCCGCTCGGCGATGCCATCATCATCATCATCTACTGCTCTGCTCCGTAATCTACTTACTCCGTACTTACTCATTTATCATCATCTGATGCTGCCGGGTCATTATTCCAGACCAACCTTGCTTCCCCTTTTCACTCTCGCACGGCGCATTTGGTTTGGTTTCATACATACTACTTCTAAACCCTCTAATCCACACCTCATCTCCTTCCCTCCCTCTCCCCTCCCCCCTCACCTTTGTATCTACACCTTTGCGCATCATGGACTCCCCCGCCGTCCCCGCCCCGCTGAATCCCAAGGAGCAACCCATCCTCGAGCGCCTCCTGCGCACCCGCGATGCGCTCCTCCTCCTCAAACAAGACAAGTCGACCTACATCAAATCCCGCGACGTGCTCCCGATGTACGAAGAGGTTATTGCCGAGGTGGAGAAGCTCAATGCCGTTCGGAAGGAAGAAGACCGCCGGCTGACACATAACCGACGTTAGCACTGAGTGGGCCTGTGCATGAAGATTCGATTGTGCGATGGTGTCGCTGACTTTCTCCTTTTTTGGGGGGTTGGATCTAGTGGATTATGTCCTCGACGATTGTTTCCAGTTGATCTCCTTGCTATTCTTGACGGTGGGGAGAAACAATGAAGCTCCGGCGCTGTAGGTCCCTCATTGATTGATCGCCCAACTGCCCTGTCCGCCGTCATCTGACTTTTATCGCGTGTAGATACTCTCTTGCGACCACGGTTCAGGTATGTGGTTGTGCTGGGTTGTTTCCCGGTCCCCGGTTCTAACACCCCCGACTCTAGCGACTCCTCGACCACCTCGAAGAAGCGGGCTTCTACAGCGCTAAAGACCTGAGCTCGATCACCAAGACTCTCGCCAACACGAACGAGACCCTCGAGCGCTGTCGCGATGCGTACTCGCCTGCCCTGATCACGCTGTTGGAAAGTCGCCTGGAGAAGTGCCAATTGCAGCTCGAGAAGCTACAGAGCGGGCTCGCCAAACTGAGCCCGGGGTTGGCGTCCATCCATGAGACGCTGGTCTCGGTTCTGCGGTCGACCTCCGCCGTCAATACTCGTTCAAAGGTAGGACTTCTCGGTGGTTTCGCACGAGCCCGCTAACCTAGCCACCAGTTCTCGGCCTCGGAGGTCAACAACCTGCGCGAGCAGCTGAAGAAAGTCCAAGCGAGCATGAAGGACGGAAAATTTGTCGATGCAGATGGCGTACCCCTATCTGGGGCTCAGGATGCGACTAAGACTCTACTGGAACGGTGCTGGCGCTGGACGGAGATTGTTCTGGAACGGTACGTTGACGCTGCTCACTGACCTGTCCGAAAACTAGTCGCTGACTCTATCGTAGGGAAGGCAAGATTGATGAGCGCTTCCAAGAACAATACGACCGGTTGATCGATATCAAAAACCAGCTCGATCGGCTTTCCGTCACACAGGCGTGGTCTCTCCGCGAGACGGATCTTTTCGGCTACCAGCGGAAACTTGACCGCATCGATGAAGCGCGGGTCAATGGGAATTTCGTCGACAATGAGGGGAACGTGGCGGATGTCCATGCGCAAAGGGTAGGGGTGATCCGAGACGGGGACGGGTTATGGGATGTGCGCTGACTGGTGGGTGGTTACAGACTTTGCTCTATCTGATCCGACGAAGCTACGGATACATCTATTCCCTGTTGATCTCATCCGAGCCAGTTTCGGAGGCCTTGCTGCCGGTGTACAATCAGCTACAGACGCTGCGCAAATGCCTGCTGGAGGTGCAGGAGTCCGGGGGAGTGTCTAATTCGCGCGAGCTTTACCCGTACAGCATGAAGGCGTGTATTTCCCGGCGTATCTGGTTCGGTTCAAGCTAACCGTTGTGACAGTTGAACTCGATTGACAACATGCGGGTGGATGGCAAGTTCTACGTGGGAACTGATATCCCCGAAGGACAGGGCAGTGTGAATGCCTTGTTGGCGGAATGCTATGATATTGTGTGGGAGTTGCGGGCAGCCGTGACGGATGAGGAGAAGTCTGCATGAGAAGGTGATGATGCTGCTGCTGTTGTTCTCAATTTTGTTGTTGTTGTTGTTGCTGTTTATGCTGTTGCTATCATTTTATGTGTAGTTATTAACTAATGGCGGGGCAGGCTCACTTGAACTACTGACTTATGTGCGAGAAGGAAAGGGTGGTGGACTTTTGGACCCGAGGTGTTTGGCGTACTGACGATGATTGTAATTGTGATTGTGATTTTTCTATTCCATGTTTAGTGACAAATGTGAGATGTGAGACTAGGTTACTAGTGAGTAATGCCTGATTACATCATTTTCCGCTCCACCCGCCCGGGTTGATGTCAGCCCCACTTCCACATGCCTGCTTGCTTATACTCATACAATGTCATTGAAAGTAAATAATCAACAACATCTCCTCCCACTTAATCTATCCACTTTCTTCTTTTTCTTCCTACTTCATACGCCTCGCTATACTAGCCCAGCCCCATTCACCCCCCCCCCCCCCGTCAACAACCACTAACAACCATGACAGAAACCCTACGCCCCGCCTTTGTCGACCGCCCGCGGCCCCTGCTCTCCTACGGGATTCCCTTCCCCGCCGCCGCCGCCCACCATGTCGACGACCTGTTCCACGCCTCCCGAGTCTACATCATCTGCTCCGGATCCCTGGCGCGCAACACCGACGCACTGGACCGACTGGTCGCCGCAATTGGCGAGAAGAAAGTGGTCGGGAAACGGATCGGCATGCAGAGCCACACGCTCTGGTCCGAGGTCCTGGAGGTTGCGAACGCCGCGCGAGAAGTCGAAGCCGATTGCTTGATTACTCTGGGGGCTGGCAGCCTGACCGATGCAGCCAAAGTGATTGCGTTGGTGAGTCGGTCGATCGTTCTCTAACCTATCACCCCACTATGAGCCCCCCGATCCCCGGAGGGAAATGCACACAATGTACATTACGAACTGGCTGTCGGGTCGTATCTAAATCTATACTATGACCCCGCAGCCGAGCCCATCCACCCACCCACCAGATACATATACATCCAGCACCCAACCACCACCACTGCCACCACAATTACCATTAAAAAAATGCATAAACAAACAACTAATACTCTTCCCCCGATAAGGCCCTAGCCAACAACGCAACGACAATGACGGACCTCGCCACCCTCCCCACGGGCCCCTCCCAATCCCCAGACCTCCACCCGCCCTCCATCCCGATCATCTCGATCCCCACCTCTCTCTCCGCCGGCGAATACAGCTCGTTCGCAGGCGCGACGCACGACACGACACGCCGGAAGCACACGTTCCGATACCCGATCCGGGGCCCGGGGCTGGTGATCCTGGACCCGGCGCTGACGACGACGACGCCGGCGCGGGTGTGGCTGTCGACGGGGGTGCGCGCCGTGGACCACGGGGTCGAGACCTACTGCGCCGTGCGGGGCACGACCACCGAGACGGACCAGCTGTCCCTGCACGCGCTGGGCCTGCTGGTCCCCGGCTTGATCCGGACCGCCCGCGACCCCGCGGACGCCGAGGCGCGGCTGGACTGTCAGCTTGGCTCGGTGGATGCCATGGCGGCCGTGACGGCCGAGCAGGGCGCGCTGCAGTTGGGGGCGAGTCATGGGATCGGGCATCAGGTTGGTCTCTCCTTACACCTAGACATAAACATAAACATAAACGTACACCCGGACCTCGGCGCTTGGGTTTCCTCCTCGTTCTTGTCAATCAGGACCTTGGTTCTGGATTGGTGGGGTTGGAAAGACCTTTGGAAAGGCAGAACTAAGGACATAAAGGCTAACACCAAGGGGCGATGTTTCCCCCGCCCCGAACGTCTATAGTTAGGTCCCCTCGGCGTCGGTCACGGCGAAACCTCCTGCATCCTGCTGCCTGCCGTCTGCAAGTACAATGCGGCGCACGGGGCGAATCGGGACCGGCAGGAGAAGCTGAAGCAGTTCCTCGTCAAACGGGCCGAGGTGGTGGAGGTCTTGCGCCGCCAGGGGAAGGAGGAGCTGGACCAGGTGGATCTGGGCGATGTGTTGGACGCGGTCATCCGCGAGCTGGGCATGCCCCGCTCCCTCCGCGAGGTTGGGGTCGGCCGGGACCAGCTGGACTGCCTGGCGGAGAATAGTCTGCACGATCGGTGGTGTCAGACGAATCCCGTGCCCCTGAAGGAGAAGAGCCAGGTGTTGGAGATTTTGGAGATGGTGGTGCAGTGAGAGGTCAGGAAGGAGGTATAGTTATGGCCAACACGGGAGTGTACCAGACTATATATATCGATAGACGGTTCCCGAAGCGTCAACACATCTTACACTTTGGGCCTTGCGGCGAGCTACGACAAAATCCTCATTCCAAACATCATCAGTGCTCCAATACACCCGAACACGACACGACATAATAGATCTCTAGCTCAATTATAACTAGTACGTAGCTCCTTCCTACCTACGCAAAGCATCAAGCACCTGTATCGCTGTACAAAGTAACAAAAAAGAACCCGGTATTTCCATAGCCCTAACATCAACTCATAATGATATCGAAGAAAAAATCAGTTGAAATAGCTGCGAATCGCCGCCTGGTTATCCGGGTTCACACCGGCCAGGATCTGATCCGCGTTCAAGCCCGTCGTGGCCACCAACTGCTTCGCCGAGTTGGCCACCCGACCAGCTGTCTGGCCCTGCAGAGTCTCCGCCTCCAACGCCTGCACAATGTATCCGAACACCTTGTCGGCGTTCGACAGCACAGCCGGGTTTTGTCTATTTCTGGTTAGCC